AATACTCTCAGTAGCTGACGCCTATTCCTCGTCCAGGAGAAGAACGCAGCTTCAACTGAAGTACCACAAGTAAGTGTTCACTCTGGCGCTCGGCTCCCGAGCTTGAAGATAGCTAGCGCCATGCGCTGTTGTTCGTTTTGGAGCATGGCGGATGCCATAGCCATCTTGGCCTCTCTCACTTAGAGCAGGTATCCTCTTCATCCTTACCCTCGAAGGTTTGAGCGTTCAGTTGGGTCAGAAAGCATCATCCATCGACGCTGAAAGCTTGTAAATTCTCTAATAGAGCATTTTTATAGTTTGAAAACGCCTCTAGGCGCGTGCTTGTGGCCTCAGGCCCTTGCGCAACAATGTGCTTCACACCCTCACGGCTCAGCGGGGACATCAGCTCATTTAGCCCGTCCTGCATGCCCTGGGGCAAATAGAGTATTGCTTCATCTTCACAGAGAATCAGAAGTACCGACTCAGGCGTAGATTGACTACGAGTGCTACCGAGTGCTACCGAGTGCAACGGGCTGCCATCGATCTTTGCTTAATGGAAGCTAAGCTAAGGTCACCGACCTTACGTTCCATACGAGAACCAGTACGAGTGTAGCGGATCGCAATCCGTTACCTTCAAGTACTTTAAACCTCAACCAAGACAAATGAACACCTCTGTTCAGAATAGAAACTGTATTCCATTATTTTAGTTGCGGAAGAGCCGCCAATATCTAGAACTCTAGGTTTTCTAATTAAGAAAGTAATACCTAATCAGTATAGTAAAACATGATTAATTTAGTAATATGCATTACTGCTAGTAATTCTGCCACGTGGTGGCTTCTTGTTGCGGTGTAGCCACACCACTGCGTGATTACACTAACTTCTGTAATCCACACCTATGTACGGGTCGCACAGGATGGTTCGACCCGCCCTTTCATACAGGGTACGTGTAACCTCGCTACAATGATAATCCAAGATTCCTGCCGATTACGAAAAGTAAGGGAAGAGATGGAGACTTGGATGGATCCTATGCCTTGATAGACTGTGTAATTCTTAATTGTGCATTTTTACTCCTGTGACGCCCCAACAGAAGACAGTATGCGTGAGAACGTAAGCAAGGTCATCTTCTCTGGACCAGGGTCACCGGATGGTCATAGGAACGTAACTTCGATCTTCTTGCATTACGAGATCATGAGTTCTTGCCTAGCCCGCATTTCCTGTCACGGAGATGCGGGCTAGGCAAGAACTCAGCGAGAAATCCTTCTCTGAGGCTCATATATCTCCATGTCGCGGTGAATTGAACAAACCTTTGGCGCGATGGCTCGTAGAGTTGAATACAGCGATGGCATTGTGAACCCAGTGCAGCAAGTGTCATTTTTAATGTCCAACCTTATGTTATGAGCGAAGAGTTGCGCGCATGGAAAGCATTCGGTCAAGTCAAGTTGTTTCTTCGACCTGGATGACTTCAAGCAAGAGCTGACGAAGGCTATCAACTCCCTAGAGCAGATTTGCGCGCGGAGTTCCTAAAGCTTCATCAGGGTGGATAAGACATATAATCGTACGCGGAACGAGCGCAGTATCTGATGTCATACAGTCAGTCAGCTAATTAATGTCTGAACGCAAGCTGTGACATTCAAGGTAGAATTTATTGACGATCCAATTCGAGACCAGGTGTTCCGCATATAACTGTAGACGTTGGACGAATTTTCAAGCGTTCGATGCAGAACTTTTTTATCAAGCAAGCTAAGTATATCGGCTCGGCGCGTGTCAAACAAGATGACAGTAAAGTCATACGAAGGTTCAGAACCAGTGGAATTTCGTACGCCGATGCGACCAGTGACACAATGACGAAGTATGAATCCGCAGCGGCAAGCCCGGACACATCGCGATGAGCTGTAAGGTGTCCTTGCCAGGCCAGCAAGCGACACCTGGATCGCGACTAAAGTAATAAGTTAATGATCGTCAATTGCTCCCAGCAGTAAGAAAAACGGGATTAACGGGGATCCACACTGGGCAAATGAATTGCTCTTCGCGCAAAGCGAAAGCGCAGAACGTTTGCTTCGATGTGCGTGTGTAGAGCAACAGCTAGCCTTAATTATTCGTGAGGTAAGCTAGACGGATACCCGACACAGCGGGCTCTTGTAGACACCCATGCGTCAGGCATTTTGTCCGTACACTAGTGGTGAGAAGGCAAGATCTGAACTGATTGACTAATGGATCGAAAGTGGTGAAGCCTAAGCACGTGCTGCGTATGAATATCATTTGTGATATATTTCTTAGGTGATGACGACCGCACTTCTCTTGACCTCGATGACAAGCTATATCAGAGTCTGGGAATGCCTTGGTCGAGGAGATACCAAAAAAAGTATTAACTGGACGACGGAGAAGCATGTTATGATGGCAAGCAAGTCAACAACGACTTCGGTTGCTTGGCAGCAAGAGAGCTAATTTGAGCATATTAATCTGCTGGAGATGTGTAAAGTGAGGTTCGGACGCTAGATAGCCCCTCACACTCCAATGACAGACTCGTGAAGACCAGTGGAGGTGGGTAGTCAGGTAGTCAGGCGTCAAATTAAGATGACTCCTGCGGCAGAGCTTTGTAGAGTTCCCATCTGACAGAATAAAGAAATTAGGCGGCGGGCAAGTAAGACCGAACTCAAAATGTATTGTTTATCAAGACACATGAAAAGCAAACGATAATGTGCAAAATGAAGAACTAACCATTATGTGAAATTTGGAGTCCTATATGAGGACGGTGGAAGCAAGATGGTGCGTAACGTACAGGCTTAAGCGTCACCTGGCGAGAATCAAAATTTTGCTCAATATATAATCGTCAAAGATGTCTTGACAGAGTCATTAACACTGCAGAGACCAAGTACCGTACAAATAGCCAGCAATCGTTACGAGATAGACGTACTACCAGAAAAGAAGTCTTGTATCTCAAGGCAACGGCTGCTGCCGAAGAAACAAGTCGATGCGATTGATGCATTCCTCGCGAAGCGACAAAAGGCTGGTCTTGTGCGTAAGAGCAAGTACCCACACCTTTTATAAAGTTATATCCACAGATGGTTGGCGGATTTCTCACGCTTTTGAAAAATTGATCGATGCGACCATACCTAATCAGACACCGTCCCACGTATGGATATGATCCTTGATGGAAGTGCTGGCAGCACTGTCTTCAGCGCTATCGATCTAGAAGTTGGTTTCTCATGTTTGTATACGAGATAGCAATGTATTCCTCACTGTATGTAGTCCTCCACTGGTGCGCTGTGGAAATGATGGTATTTTTAAAAAGGTCTGACGAAAGCGCTAATGACTATCAATAGAATGTACGCATCTATTTAGCGAGTGTGTATCAAGCTATTTGTACGACATATTTGCTCATAATAGCCCTCTGGGGAAGAAAAAGGACATATAAACTCGCCTTTCGCATCTTCGTCAAGTCTTTAGGTATACAAGATAATCGATCATATGTAACCGGGTTACACGTACCCTTGTATGAAAGAGGTGTCAAAAGATGGTGTGACCGTACAAAGGTGTGACGGTACAAAGTTGGTGCATCCACACAATGATGTGGCTACACCGTAACAAGTGCGGGTTTGCCAGTAGTTATACATAATAACTAGGTTTTACTATTTAATTAAAAACCCTAAGGTTTTTATTACAGGAGGCTCTGCCACAAATACAGTAAATATACACTGTTTAATTTTGAGCAGAAATGTTTTTTTGCCCTGGATAAAGGTCGTGGTTACTTTTGGAGTAAACGGATTGCGATCCGCTACACTCGTACTCGTTCTAGCATAGAACAAAGGTCGGTGATCTTAACTAAAATTCCTCTAAGCGACTGAGCTACGGCAGCTCCGCTGCAGCAGGAGGGGCGAAGCGCTTTATCAACCGCAAGTCTTTTGATGACGGTTTGTTCGAATACAAAGCCCGTCAGTCGTAATAGTCAGAAAACTTTACCGACTGTTAAACTTGAGCAATTGAAGGTTTTACGATGCGAAAGACAATAAGAATAAGCTGAGTCAGAATCTCAGGCTTTGCTTCGGGTGAAAAGAGAAGACAGAAGCTTAAACTTGCATCGCATTTCTTGAACTGGCTCTAAACACGCCCTCTTTGACATTTGCGGGTGCCAGGCGATTGTCCCATCTTAGGATTATGAGCTAAAAAGCCCGACTTGCCTTGCAATACTGTCATCATATGTCACAGCGCCATTCAAGTGGTCATATCGCGGTATCATTAATGAGCTCTGAATATATTACTCGCGAATTATAGAGAAACTGAAGGATAATTGTTTTTGGGGGTCGCTCATAATACCATCAATTCACCACGGAACTAAATCACAAGCTGGATCGCGATATTCTACCACCACCACTCGTTTGACGTACGAAGCACATAAGTGTTCCTTCTTCCACCATGATGTAAATCCTGATGGGACAACAAATTTAATTTTACAAGGCTAACTCAGTATGATCTCCAAGAAAACCAGAACGCCGCGAATTTACCCTTTAACCTGCGTATGAAGCGTATGCATTAAAAAGCCACCACGAAGGACGAGGATCGTATCAAAGTTGTTATATCCCTCGCACAAATAATGGACTCGTATATTTCGTTCAAAGGAGAAATCATTTGCTTGCCCATTTGCTCATTTTTTGGTACATAAAAAAATTGAAGTTCCTAGCCTAAGGAAGGGCTAATCCGCGGACTCTACAAGTCGTAATCTTTCTAAACTAACGATATCACACTGGCCGATATCACTCTCTTTCCATTCAGCACATCTGAGCTGATCGCATCGGGCTCGCTCGTAGCGTTTTAGAAAGCTTACTTAGAAATCAACCTATTTCAAATCATAAATCCAAGGTCCGGTTCAGGTGAACCGGTCAATCACTAGCAAGCCGTACTTGATATTTCTATGAGAAAAATTCACAGCTCATTTGTATGTTTGTGCTTAAAAGCCATTGAGCCAACCATTTGACGCGAGTGTCTAGGCGATACCATTCGCATTCGCATATCACCACGTCAATATGGTAAGACACGTAGTCAAACGGCAAAGCAACTGAGAGGAAATAAATTGAGACGGATACATTTGGCTATCAAACGTCAAGAGAAACGAAGACCAACGTCTTCTCTCCAGCTTTGCTAGAAGCTTTTAATTATAATATGAGAGATTGACAGGCCGTGTGTTATGTGTGCTTGTGCCTGCTCAGCCGTCCCGTTTTTCCAAGAACCGCAAGAAACGCGGACACGTGAGTGCTGGCCACGGTCGTATCGGCAAGCATCGTAAGCATCCAGGTGGTCGTGGTAACGCTGGTGGTCAACACCACCACCGTATCCTAATGGACAAGTTTCACCCTGGTTACTTTGGTAAAGTTGGTATGCGTCACTTTCACCTGCTTCGCAATCGCTCGCACTGCCCAACAGTGAATGTCGAGCGTCTTTGGACGTTGGTGTCTGAGAAGACGAAGGAACAAGCTGAAAAAGCTAAGGACGGCAAGGCCCCGGTCATTGACGTTACCAAAGCTGGTTTTTTCAAGGTGCTTGGAAAGGGTCGCTTGCCTGAAGTACCTCTTATAGTCAAAGCCAAGTTTTTCTCAGCTGAAGCAGAAAAAAAGATTAAAGCCGCTGGTGGTGCTTGCCTTTTAACTGCGTAAGTAACGTCGTGGCACGACATAGCGGTGAAGCGAAGCATAAATGAAAACATATCCACAGAATACTTTATCAATGTTGCTGTACTTCGTCTATGCTATGAGAGCATTCTCAACCACCTTTGAATCCTTTTTGAACACACAGGTGTGCGTGCCATCTTGCATGCATATAGAAAGTTGATTATCCAGTCAGGACGAGTAGCGAAACGCTTCAACTCTCGTACGCTTGTTCGGTGATCTTTCTTTCTCCATTTGCTACTCGCAAGAGATCATAGAATATACCTGATGTCGTTGGCCACCACTATTTGCTGCATCGTCGCATCCCCATAAACCAGAAATTAAAGCTGGACACTTACACACGCTGTCAACACCATAGTTGATGTACCCAGTTAAATCAACGCTGCTTGTCCTGATGTAAATAAGCCATCGTTATGAGCTTATATCTGTTCGAACCAATCAAAGTGTTTACAAGAAAATATGCTTCGCAACGTCACGCGCCAAGCGCAAAAGCTCGTTTTCAGACGGTGTTTAGTCAGGTTTACAGCGTCTCCGGCTCATAAAATTCAATCCGAGGTCTATAAACAGCGTCATGGGTCATCTTCAAGCGCAAGAGTCGAGGTAGGAGCTGCACAATGATGACAGTGCAACTTAATGCAATATCAGTTATCACCAAAAAGATTACAGGCTTCAAGCGTGGACAGCGCGTATGTGCGTTCCATAGCCAGCGATATATTTGCCTTGCAGGTAAACAACTGTATTTGTGCTAGCACTTTATTTTAACATTTAGCAAGACTGCCGTGTAGAATCTGCTTGGTCTGCTGACGAGTAACTCGGACGTCGCCCATAATTTAAAGCTGTTCGTTCAGCGTTTGTTGCAATGTCATGGTCAGCAGCACCGAGTATTCGTGACAGGAATCGGCAAGTCATGGGCTGTAGCGCAGCGCTTCGCGTCAACGCTGTCGTCTATTTCAATCAGTAGCCAAGTAGGATGTTTATTGCCGTAAATTAAAGTCGTGCAGATGCTTCTGTTCACCGCAAAAAAATATGATTAGTGCATTCATGCAGGAGAATGGATACATGGTGAGCTTGGCTGTTTGACACGCGGAGATGTTGTACGTATGAGCTTTGCAAAGCGATTAACTCTTTCCGGAAAATGCTCATTGGTATTGCTTTCAGGTCATTCTTGTGTCACATAGTGGACGTACATCAGAGTTGCTTCCATTACCCGACTTGTTTCGGTCAGCTGGGTGTTATGTGATGGCCGTTGTTGGAGATGCGAGCTCACCCCTGAGAACACATTGTGATTTGGTAACTCTCCCAAAAGACTGATTTGCCCGATTGCATGCGAGTGAACTGAATTTGAAATTCGTTCTTGTAGACTGTTGTTGCACCAGCGGATGATGAGGAGAAGTGTCCTGTTCCATCTAGAAGCATTATTGTTCAGGTACTTGGTGAAAAAAGTCGCAACAGTGCGTCAGTTGGTGTTATTGTCTGCTAACTTCTTCAATGAGCAAGGAAGCTATTTGTAATGCAGTTATTCAGCACTTAGTCGAGAGCATGGCTGATAGCATGAAAAATTTGAAAAAAAACCATCCTGGAGGTGCCATTGGTGCTAATCAAGCACATTGAATGGACCGTTTAGGCTTCAGCTCTTGATGGCGAACAAGGGCCAGTCTACAACAATATCGAATCATCCATATATCCCAATCATTGCATGACTTTACTATGACGTGACGTATTTACAGTGAGATTTGGATGCTTTGCTTTATGAATATTGTGCACAACGAACTCTTTTCGACAGTTTCAGCTAATTGTAGCTCGCTCACTAGTAGCGCTGTCTCTGCAATAGAGTATCATTTTCAATTCTGTGGACATAATTATAGGTCAAAGCATCCTAAACAAATTTTCTTATATGCTTGATATTGTGCTAATATGTGTACCGAAACTCCTGAAGAAGACGGCAATTACGTTTACAATCTCATTCGTTCAATCATGATAATGGTAAGCCATTTATCACTTTACTTTGAAATAATAACATTGAAAAATTTCAGGACTATGATCAGTGCAATCAGAGTTCCTGGAATCGAAGACTAAATTTTGATGCCAAAACTTAAGATTGGAAGTTCAAGTACTGCCAAAAGGATAACTTCTCGTCTCCAAGCTTACACGGAGTTTGTCGGGCCGTCTGTTTGAAAGGAGTTTCGTTGGCTTCTGGTTCACATCAAGTAAATCTTCCGCACGAGCTAATCCTGCTAAAAAAATATTGGGCGGTTGAATGCGGTATTTTTTCGGCGTCTACCAGCGAGCACCGAACCTTCGTACTGGAACATCGCCAGTATTGGGTACATAGCTACTTTTTGCGTCTGCAGTGCGATTAATAGCAGATTTCGGGTCTGACTACTACCTATCATCGATTTTTGCCCACTGTCACCGGACAATCAGCAGATTTACGCTTATTTATGACCTTCAATTGCACCGGAAACAACTGCACTTGTCGATTTTCCTGAAATGCCATTGCCACTTCATATGCAGAGGGTCGCTGTTTTGGATCTACATGCAGCAGCTGCTTGATAATGGCACCTACAAGCGGCGGGATGGAGATAAAATTGACGCATAAATGACATGTCTTGGGACTGCAAGTTGCATCGATATGGCTAAAAACTTCTCGTCGCCAGTTTGTGTTGGACAAAAGATAAGTCGGTCCACCTCGAAAGCCCCATATGACGCACTGAACAAGCTAAAATAAACAACATTTCAGTGAGTTTTCAACTCAGCACGAATACAAATACTCATCGCACAGCTTACGATCACTCCAGCAGCCCACATATCGGCTGCCGCACCGTCAAATCCCGGTCGAGGCGGTGCCATTCTTTGATGCGATCTTACTTCAGGCGATACAAACAGTGGCTTACACTTGATGTTGACAAATCCAGCACCCACTAGACCTCTATTATCCATAATTTGACTACTTCCCAAATCAATAATTCTCGGACAATTTCGTACATCCACTGCCACATTGTAGACGTCGAGATCCAAATGCGCTACATTCTGCGCATGTAAATACGTCAGCGCTCGAACAATTCCTTTAAAAGTCTCGATTCCCTTACGCATCCATTCGTGACCAGAACCTCGATATACATACGAAATACACTCTAGCTTTGTTGGAGCAGCTCCATGTTCCAGCGCAAAGTCTTGTAAGTGTTTTATTATCAACTGGTGCACTTGTCGATGTGCATAAGCTTGCAGACTACCGTTAGCTACGTATTCCGTAGCCACATATTGATTATAAGTATCACTTGCATATTCCCATCGAATCATATAATCATTAGCTAGTGGAGCGTCAAGTCCACCCATCTGTAACTGTCCCATGACACGAATCTCGCTCTCCACGTCGTCGTGTTGCAGTAACACCTGCGCTCGATCCATTATCTTGAGTGCTACGGGAATTTGTAAAGCAGCAGCTTGATCGATTGTAAAGTAGACACCAGCGAGCACAAGTCCACAGCGACAAACAGCTAGTTGCCGCTCTCGACGACGTAGGGCAATAACGCCAGACTTAGAATCCCATACGAGATAGATACTGGGTACACGCATTGAGAATGGTCGACTTCGGGAGGACACGGCGGGATGGCTCACGGTTTCAAATGGAGGGTTATTGCCATACTTTGGATACTGCGTCGTCACGAACCACACGTCCATGGAAGTTATTGTAGCTTCACCGAGCTGATTATGATACTTTTTACTCTAATACCTTATTGGCTTAACATTCGCCAATCATTTGCAAAATGACTGTAGTGTATATCGATGGGACCGAGGTGTCGACCAAGGACGAACGGTGCATCCTTTACACTAGTGACGTGCAATCCGCTCATCAATACGTTCATGTTTCTCGAGGACCACATGCTGCCTTTGCTCAGTTACGATGTCAAGTAGATGGATCAGCGGCTTCGTATGGTCTAATTCAAGCTCTGCAGCTGTCGGAGAGGCTTGAGACGCTTCAAGTTGACTCAAATTCTGAGGATAAACATGATTCTGATTCAGCACCGTGTGAGTGCAAATGCGGTGCCGTCACGAGTGTCCGTGTCGCTTTTTTAAACCGGACGAGGCCTCCCAATGCAGTGCTACGAGGCATGCAAAACATTGCTAGTCGATTATTGGATGGTGTCATCGTGTGGACTGGAAGACGATCATCAGTGAACTGGATGAATTGTAGAGATGTAATCAAATTTGTCGATGTGACGTGGGGAGAGATAGGATCGGGATGCTGTGAGCAGCTCGGAATGATCTCAAGTAAGTCAGAGGTGATTCTGAGTTTTGAAGGAGATGAAAAATGTGAAATTGCAAAGTTCAAGTCTTTGGACGAATACATTAAAGAAATTGCAACTGAAGTTGGAGGCGTTGAAAGGTATGCGAGAAGTTTGTTGCTGACAATTTTGCAACGATATGGCTCGGAGCCCACTGCAAAGACAATTAGACCGAGTGTTGGAGCGCTCATTTGTGGCCTCCCTGGCATTGGTAAGACAGCTCTGGCAAAGGCAATATGTAAGTGTCTGGGTGTCAACATCGTATTTCTAGCCGCGGCAGATATCTTTCAAACGTATGTGGGACATTCAGAAAAGTATTTACTCAACATTTTTGATAGTGCAGTACAGCAAGCGCCAAGTATATTGCTAGTTGATGGTATCGAAGCTATCGCTGGCAACCGACGTGATCTTGCTAACTCAGGAAGTGCACTTGAGATTGGAGTATTGGGTGCGTTGCTGTCTTCACTAGAAAAGCTGAAGGCTTCAAACTATAGGGTGTTCGTTTTGTGTACCACAAACCGTCCGGGAGATGTGGATGCTGCGGTGCTAACAAACGGACGAATCGACCGAATCGTAAATATTGAACCTCCCACGCAAAGAGATCGGTCCGAGATTCTCCGCATCATGACAAAATCATGGAGAGTTGAGGAAATCGACCATAAATTTCTTAACCAATTGAGTGAACGAACAGGTGGATTCGTTGGAGCTGATCTTTTGAGTCTTTGTCAGAGAGCATTTCAAGCCTGTTTGAACGAAATGGCGATTTCAAAGGCAAACGATACAATTGTTTCATCACGACACTTTGAACAAGCGCTTACTACTACCTACCCATCCGTCCTTCAAACTTATCACGTTTCACAGAAGCAGCATCAGCCAACCTCCACGTCTGTTGAAAAACTCGGTAAATCTAATTTGCAGAATGCTTTTTCTAGTATTTTCGGAATGGATTATGCCATTCAATCTCTTCGCGTCTCCTTACTCGAACCGCTTCAGGACTGTAGTCGATTTTTGAAGTTCGGGACCACGCCACCCAAAGGAATACTTATAACAGGTCCACCAGGTTCTGGTAAAACACACCTTGCTAATGCAGTTGCCGAAGAAGTTCGTAGTCGAGGACTTGCGTCCTTTGTGTCAGTGCAATGTAGCGATTTATTGACTAAAATCGTTGGGGACACTGAAAAAGGACTTCGTGAACTATTTGATACTGCCAGAAATGCTGCGCCGTGTGTGTTGTACTTCGATCAAATTGAGAGTATTGCACCACTGCGAGGCTTTGATACGAGTACGGAGCAGACTTTTGATCGTATGCTTAGTATGCTTTTAGTAGAAATAGATGGGTTTCACACGAGCCAAGTAAGTCTGGCGAATGATGAAGCACACATGGCATTTCTCAAGCAGCACGTAGTGATCCTTGCCTCAACGACGAATAAAGAACTTCTTGATCCAGCTATCCTTCGACCCGGGTTGGTTTTAACTTGCGTTTCTATCCATTTTGAGCATTTCAAACATTTATTGAATGACTACAGACGTTTTGACGTACACATTCGGGTCGAGCTCCCTGATGAAAACGCGAGATATGCCATCATCGCTCAAGCTTTGGCAAAAGTCTCAGTAGATTATTCTTCTGACTCAGGCTGGAATTCTCCAGGAGCACTTGCCAGACACATGGCTAAGCATACAAATGGTTTATCTGCTGCAGACATAAATGCCATTCTTCGCGAGGCTGCCATGACGTCGATACGCGATAATTTAGATGCCCAAAGCATAGCTATTGAGTATTTGCTGCAAGCGCTGCCTAAACCTACGCTTGCGGGCTCGTCAACCCCATCTCAACTATTCGCTAGTAAGCATACGCTTAGGAAAGGTAAGATAAATCCTATAGACACACGAGCGCGATCAAATACCCGACGCTCTAAGTAGCATTTCAAAACGAGTCTGCTAATTTTTATCATCAATACCATACAATTTTTGCGGTATTATATGTGCATTGTCATTTCACCTATTTGGTTCATGCGTGGCACTCGACGACGACCGACTCCACATCTTGGAGATCAAATTCACCCTCGGAACCGATACAAAAATAATCCTCCAGATTTCTACGCTCTAGGTCAGCAGTATCCCGAATTCAGGCAGTAGTAAGTGGCTTGTGCGTAAGTTAATAGATAATATTCATACAAACATGGAATTGTCGCTAGTCTGCGCAATGTAGACGATATTAAGTGTCGAGCGTCGCTTGCTTGGGATGATCCCTTCGCTGTGAGGTGATAAATATTTCATGCCGTATTTATTGTCTGTGCATGAGCTAACCAAGTCATTGCTTATGACTTAGGGAGTTAACCAAGACATTATTGCTACAAGACTTTGGACTAAAATGGCATATCCCTATTAATCGTCTCTGTCCTCCGGTAAACTCACTGAATATTTCATTTGATAGTTAACTTTAAGCTAATCTTTATTCTGCAGCTACCCAATCGCTTAAACTATCTTCTTTGGATCGAAGATTTGCTCACGCAAGCGAGATGGGATAGCCAAGTAGAAGGAGATCAGCCAACTCCTGTGATTTCTGGAATTGATGTGGGAACTGGAGCAAATTGTATCTACGCATTGCTAGGTTCAACAATGAACAAATGGAAGTTCATTGCAACGGAAATTGATGTCGAATCCTATAAATGTGCGAAAGAAAACGTAGCTCAAAATCAACTTGAGATGTCAATCAACGTAAAGCAAACCTATACGAATGACTTGTTGCTCGAAGCTTTGCAAGACGAGCCCCCAGAGCGTACATTTCACTTTTCCATGTGCAATCCGCCATTTTTTGACAATATGAATGATGCTGACACCAATCCGGAATCGAGCTGCATGGGAAGTGCCAACGAAATGGTTTTCCCGGGAGGCGAGATTGCATTTATCGAGAAGATGATCACAGAAAGTGAGATACTACAAAAGCGCGTGCTGTGGTATACCTCGATGGTTGGCAAGAAGTCGAGTCTACGCAAAATATTAGCTCTTCTTCGAGGCAAGAATGTTCAAAGTACTCGTACGACAGAGTTTTTTCAAGGACGAACCAAACGATGGGGAATTGCATGGACATTCTCGGTCGATCTCATCAACGATCCTTCTGTACGCTGGAATCAACGTGTATCAGTATGATTCTTTTCTAATATGGTTGAGGCTTGCAACGATTCGTAGGCAAAAGTACTAGGTAAGAGAAAAGAAGCTCAACGACGACAAGAACTAAGTTTTCAGGTTTCACTGAAGAGCGACGAGAGTATGTATACTCAGGATGCTTCTTGTCGTACGCCTCTATAATATTGACTTTTCTTACGATGTTAACTCAGCACTCAATGGGTGTACTTCAATTGAAGAGATACATCAGAGAATTCGCGAATTTGTCTCAATGAAAGATGAGCTCACCGCTGAGCCGTTGGGGGACCCGAAATGTGAAGAAAAGCAAGAGTTAATGGTGTACAATATAAAAGAATTTACCTTGGGTGAAGACGTTGCTACCAAAAATAATATCAAAGTGCGTTGCGCTGGCCGACTGGAGATATCGAATGACAAAGATATGTGTAATATCTTGGCTGTATTTGAAGAGGGGGATCGAGCCTTTTTTTGGACGATGATCCAAACGCTTCAAGCAGCTATCGTTCGCACAGGCCGACAGTGGAGGCGAAAGCTGCAGCGACTTAAGGAGCGGTAAGGTATGTGAAAATTGTTTTTATCTTGTGGAAATGTTGGTAGAAATTGACGTGGAAATTACGGACGTTGCTGTAGTTGTGCTGCCATGTACGATGTGATCTGTAAACCATAAAAAAGAAGATGAACTTTGCTTATTGTGCCATTGAACTTTGTCCTTTGAGGAATTCAAGCTTCAATCGAGAAAGTAGAGCCATATCTCAACTATGAGGCTAATCTGAGTTCGTTTTCTATACGAACCGATGTACATCGTGTGCTTGTAAACTATACATACAGCTTTAACATCGTATTACAACATTACTGACTCAACAAGCTGTCTATGCAGGCAATAACCCTGAATATTGAAGCTCTCTTGGCATATGGAGCCGCTTTGAGTCACGCAAAAACAAGTTTGCACTACTATATCGTCACGTCTTCAACCGAAGACACACGGCACCCCATCGTGATAGACTGATCTGGTGCCTTTTAGTTGATAGAAACAACTAAAATGATAATAAACAGAACTGCAAGAACGAAGAGATACGTGGGGATCTGGATCTGGTAAAACGAATTCTTGTACCTAATTTCAAATTAGCTCAAGTGCCTTTCATGAGTAACATGATCCTTGTTTACCTGGAGTATTACAATGCTTGCGAACACATAACGATCTTGAGCGATATCTTCTGCGAGCAGTAGGATCCAACCCACATAGTTTCTTTTACCAACTCTGGCGCAGAAGACGCTCACCAAACGTCACATCAAAAGTAGATTTCGGGACCGAAACATACCATCGATCATTCCTGGCTCAGCAGGAAAACCGCGACATACGATTGCCAATCAATCTCTCGTCTTCAGACATCAGGCTGTCATCCTCGTATGGTAAGATAACAACAGTTTTGGTCTCCTCAAATGAGTGAATCGTTAACCAATCACCAAAAGAAATTAAGCTATTCAGACATAAAGCTTTAATTTTCTGGTTTTGATTCTTCTCGATATAAGGATCCTCTTACCTATAAGTCAGACTACTAGGGTCAGGCGTTAGAATTAGTTAACAAAAACTTAATGTAGTCAACTTCTTATAGCGGTTGTGAGGAGAGCTTCGCACGTCTACAAGCCTGGGCTTTTTAAGGCGATTTTCGATTCATGAGATAAATCTCGTCTAGGTCGCGGGGTAGTATCAAACCATAGAGGAGCTCAAAGTTCCAATGTATTTCAATCAGACAAGTTGCACAAGCCAGAAGGTGAAAGTGCCTTTCAGAAATATTGGAGATTCATGCAGAACATATATGGTGACAAGAATGCATCAGCGGCCACCTTCCCTTTAGAAACATAATGATATTCCTCTTATATCATAGAAGCATAAGTGACATTGCGTAGAAAACGGGTGGATTTCTTAAGGTCAAAAGAGCTAGATATGTGTCTTTTCAATGGATTCCCAAAGACTGAGGAGCAAGGGCTAAAGTTTCTTCAAGCAATGTAAGCTTTTACAATCCTATTACAGCTGTTGAAAATCCCTTACTTTTTGTGGTGCATTGCAAGCGGGTGACAGCAATCACACCACAAATAAAGCAAATCCGCAGACCGTTGAGTTTCCAAAAACACCGTCAGCGGTAGGACCACGCAGACAACGAAGATGATCCATGTACACACCATGCTCTCTGGAAAAACATCTTTGGCTGGTCAGACCAGCTGTTGCAACTAACAAATTGATTTCAGACAGCATGCTAGTGTCTAAGTCATTCTGCTGCTCGAAGAGGCTATTTCTAAGCTTGAGAGAGTGTTTTTAGACTTCTGCTCTGCTGATAAGGGATCATCAGTTACCTCGAAGTATATAAATCTTTAGCAACCAGGTGCTTTTGCGACTTTGACGCCGAAGATTCAGCGACAAATGCTGCGTGAGCACAGCTTCCAGCACAAATTCTACTTATTGAAAGATTATTGAGAGAACACTGCATGCTTGTAGCATTTTATCTGACAGAAATGTGAATAGTTTTACCGCTGAGAGTACCTATCATTTCCAGTCTGTCTAATTATGTAGAGCCAGCGACAAAGCCGCCGTGCGCCGTGCTGAATCCAGCTTTGCTGAGGATCAATTCGGTGGCTTGGTCTTAGCTGATGCCATCTATCTTCAGTGCGCTTTCGACTTTGAAAAACCTTGCCACCTTTTCGAGAGATCTCGGTGTCTTGGCCTTTGAGCCGACGTCTTGACCTCACTAGTCTAACTTGATTGGCTTCCGGTGCTGTCAGGTACAGAACGCACGTTACGCACAAAAGTCTCGAAAAATGGCAAAACCTTCTGCATATCGACAACTTTTATAAAAACAAAACCCAAATTCAATTAGAGAATTAATATCTAACTTCCACCTAGAATTTAGCATTCCATTCTCTGCATTTGTAGTGTGCCGTCAAATTCTCCGCAATTTTCACTTAGGACTCGTACGGATTATGCTCGTCCTCGTTCTGCTTGTGTTCGTCTTCGTTTTGCTTGTGTTCGTCTTCATTTTGTACATGTTCATTTTCGCCCTGGTGTTGCTCATGTTCGCCTCCAACAGACGTAGGAGAGTCGACGACGCCTGGAGCAGAATTTCCTGAAGTCGGATTGCTACCAGGAGTTCCAGAGGGAACGAAACCCGGTGTTGTTGATCCAACGGTCGAGGGGTTGCTTGAAGCTGGCGTTCCAGAGTTTGGGGTATTACTCGGCGAAGAATGAGCAGGGTTTCCAGCAAATGGGGTGCTACACGGAGTCGGAGCGGGAGTGATGCTCGGCGGGGATCCGGGAATTGGAGTTTCATCTTCGTGCTGCTTGTGTTCGTCCTCGTTCTGTTTGTGTTCGTCCTCGTTCTGTTTGTGTTCGTCCTCGTTCTGTTTGTGTTCATCTTCGTTCTGCTTGTGTTCGTCGTCGTTCTGCTTGTGTTCGTCCTCATTCTGCTTGTGTTCATCATCGTTCTGCTTGTGTTCATCATCGTTCTGCTTGTGTTCGTCTTTGTTCTGTTTGTGATCATCTTCGTTCTGCTTGTGTTCGTCGTCGTTCTGCTTGTGTTCGTCGTCGTTCTGTTTGTGTTCATCATCGTTCTGCTTGTGTTCGTCCTCGTTCTGTTTGTGATCATCTTCGTTCTGCTTGTGCTCGTCCTCGTTCTGTTTGTGTTCATCTTCGTTCTGCTTATGCTCGTCATCATTCTGTGTTGTATCGTGCTCTTGTTCGCCTCCAACTGCGGTAGGAGAGCCGACGAAGCCAGGAGCAGGA